TGCTGTAGGACAAACAGACCATAATGGCATGGCTGGCATTGTTGAGTAACTTTAGTGAGACGTTTGATGGGGTATGTTGTGGGGGAATGGGGTCAGGGTCAGACATAGCTGTTTTGGATTCAGCCCAGCTCCGAAGATGCTAACCGCTTGGTTAAATAGGGACATCTAGAGCAAGTAGATGGTCCTTTTCATCATTGGCAGAAGTTTGGGGGCCTTTGTTTTGTACATGGTACAGCCTCACCTGAAAAGTAAGAAGCAGGACTGGAGGTGGGCCCAGAAATGGGGAGGAGCTGGGGGAATGTTAATGAGGTAGAATGGAAGAGGATTTTGGCTGGATCCTGAAGCCATTTGGAGACTTTGAAGCCTCTGGTTCCTGTGACCTACGGGAACTTGCCCAATGCTGCTGAGCCTTAAAGTTTCCTCCCCTACATGGCCTACAAAGTTTCTCTGTCACTCTGGCTTGTCGGATTTAAATGAGATAGTGTATCCAAAGCACAGAGCCAGTCCTGGCACACAGTAGTCACTTAATTCCCTTCCTTTTGTCTGGGTGCCCTCAGGAGGAGTTTGGGTTCACATAGGGAAAGGCTCAGGCCCAGGAAGTACTTCTTTCTTGCCCAACCCAGGTCCTCTCTGCCTCGCCCCACTTAGGCACAGCTGAGCATGATCTTCTAGACCAGCCCCCCCCCACGCACACAGGTGTTGCACTTACAGCAGCAGCAGCAGCAGCAGCTTGTGTTTACTTCCCAGGGCCTGAGAATCATTGGCTAATTCTTTTTTCTTCTGCACTAGACTGTAGGTTCCTTGTGGCCTAGGCAGTGATTGTTCTCTCATATTCTCTGGTACATGACCCAGTGTGTGCTTGTGCCAGGTACTCAGTAGATGTCTCTACAGCTGTGGGTGAGCAGAGATAGTTTTGGTGATGTGCAGCCACTTACCTTTGAAACCTTTCAGAAGAGAACAGATTGTGAGAGTAGATATGAGAAGAGAACACTTGGGAAAGGCTTAGCCCTAACTCTGTGAAAGGTGGTGAGGTCAGCATGATCTCAGCAGAATGGTCCTTTTTTTGCCCAGGATACTGCATTCTGAACTCTTCTGGTTCCTGAAGTTTTAAGTCCAAGGGTGTATTTTGCCCTCATTTGAAGGTCTTTTATCTGTTACAGAAAGTTGTTTCAGCTCTGCCTCCCACTTGCCTTTTCTGTGCCACTCTACAGCTGTGTATGTCTCCGCGGATACCATAGATTTGTGATGAGCAGGCTTATATCCCTCTAAGCTGGTGGTTCCCTGTGAGCAGTGTTCTTCTCCGCTGCTGTGTCGCATGAAGGAGAGCACACACCTGACAGCCGCGTTGTGTGGTCGTTGGTTTGTGCAAAGGAGCGAGCAACGGGAGGTTCTCCACCTGGGTCTGGGAAACTCCCCCCACCCCAAGGATTTTGGATGTATGTCACGAACCTGAAATTGCATGGGAAATTGTGTGTATATGTATATATTGATAAATATATTCCTCTTGTGAGAGAGCCCATAGTTTACATTAGTTTCTGAAATATTTTCATGATCCTTAAAAAGTTAAAAAAAAAAACCTCACTCATTTAGAAATTTTCCACATATGTGTAAATTACAGTTTATGTTTTTGTTAGCTAGGAGATATTTTTGTGCTCCCTTGATTTCCAGGTGTGAGCTATAGGTTGGGGTAGCCAGAGAGCTCTGGATCACAGTCTGACCTGAGCGCAGCGTGCGTATCCTGGACTTAGCCCTCAGAGAGCCCACTTAGCCTTTCTGAGCTTCATAGTATTTTTCATCTGTTAATTTAGGTCTATAATGTCCTTTTGTGCTATAGGAATGTTGCATAATAAAGAGATCACTGATGTACAGGAGTTTTATCAACTGTCAAGGGCTATTCAACTGTGGGGTGCAAGTATTCTATTAAAAATGTGTCATGTCTCATGTCACACAGTGTCAAGGACATGGTAGACAGTCAATAAACATGTAATTAAAATGAACATGGAAAGGGTTTATCGAAGTGAGAGGGCTAGAGGTTTCAAGACACTGGCGTCTGCGTACCTTGCAGATTCTGTGGAGGATCTAGTATTCAGACCTAGAACGCAGCTTATGGCTATTAGAGGAATTGATTTTCAAGGAATGGTAAAAGAGGAAATGACCTTCGAGACCTTAAGTATATTTGTTTCATTTTATGGAAGAAACTGAGACTTAGAGAGACAGGAGCTATCCCACTTACTTCAGAAGGGCTTAAGACTCTTCCTCATCACTTTTAATGGTGGCCTAAAAAAGACCCTCTTAGCCTTCATATTATCAACATGTTGTCTTACCTTTTTAAAACAGCGCTGAATTCACCACATGGTCTTAATTCTCTTATTGGGGCCACTTGCAGTCCTGTAATTCTTGAATACACTGGTGCTATTACTAGACACAGGCACAGTGCACTCTTGGAATGTTTTCTTAGATATCACATCAGACCACTGGGTAGAAAGCATTGCCACCATTCTCAGCCGTGCTGAGACTCAGAGAGGTTACCATGACTTGTCCAAGTCACAGAAGTCAGTGTCCAAAGCAGAATGAAAATCCAAGTGTTCTAATTTTCTATTCTTATAGCACTAGGTTCTAAATGTTCTCGTCAGACCCCTCCTTGCCTCCAGTAGGTAAGAAAACAGTAACCTAGAAATTTTTTTTCTTAGTGTTTATATATCTATATAAATTCGTCTGTGATCTAATCTTTCCATCCAAAGAATTTATAATAGAAAGGATTTTGAAATAATATTTAACCATTGCTTTATAATGAATGTTAATTAAATATCGCTTCAAGAATTGGCTTCTTTTTTGGTAATTGCATTACTTTTTTGAGGAGAGGTTTTGTTTTGCTTTTTAACCTGGTTGTGTGTATTTGGAAACTACCCTAACACAGGGTATCCAAAAGCAGAAAATTCTGGCACTTTCCCCACTTTCCATTCTTCCTCCTGTATGGATGCCAGAATCCTTTGGGAAATCATCATTTACAAAAGTCAGGAGCAAAAGGAGGAGCATTCTTTAGTGTACAGTTACTGCTAATTGGAAACTAAACATCTGTAACCATGTCGGAGTTATTTGTATTTGAAAAGAAACATTTATATACAAGAGTCCTTTTGGTAACATAAAACACACTGTAACACAAAGTTGTGTGTGTTGGAGAGGTGGGGTACAGACCGTAGGAGAAGCTTCCAGCAAATGACTGTGCTGTACTGAGTGAGGTCATCTGCTAATTAAATCTCAAAACATTTTCAGAGGTTTTTTTTTTTTTTTTGGTCAAATGAAGCTTTTCCCTGACTCCCACCCCTACCATTCCCTATAGGCCAAAGCAAATATTTTTCTGTATTCACCAATTATGGATTAAACATTTAATCATTTAAAAAGAATAACCGAGAAAATGGATGAGTTGTGGGGAACTGTCCAGCTATCTACTGTAACCATAGCTCTCTGTTTTCCCACAGAAATGTGAGGTGACTTCTTCTCCATCCTGAAACTATGTGTGCTGCTGGACCTACCTGACAGACCTAACTGCCTTAGGGGGGAAAAAATGACACTTTTTTTTTTTTTTAAACTTACTCCATACGTCTTTCTTCTCTTTCCCTACCTCCCCCAACACCGTGATGAAATTCTGCTCAGGCTGTTCTATTTGTATAGAAATTATATCTGTTTTTCTGTTGTCACATTAAAATAAATGTTGGCAATAACCTCTAGGGAGTTAGGAACATTGCTGTAGGAGGGCCCTATCCCTCTACTTCCTAAGCCAACATGGCCATGTGGCCCTAATGGCCTAGTTCTTACCAAGTAATTCCTTTGTAAACACTGATTAATTTTGAAAAAGTCAAGAGACCATCTCTTTTTCTCTGCAGAGTCTACCCTCTTCTGGTCTTTCCTGTTTTTGTCGTCTAAGATATTTCTATAAATTGAGTTACTTTTTTAATTGGATGAAAAATCATGAATTCTTGACAGTTCTAGTCAAGAACTTATTTAAGCTGGTACTTAACATATTGGACTTTCCTCTCAAATCATCAGTCTCTTATCTGTGAAGGCTTTACAGTGCACAGTTTCAACAAAATGTTTATGGTCTTTCAGGTTCTGAGTGTTTATAAAGTCAGGAGGCTTTAAATGACCTGACTTTACAATGACCTTCCTAGAATCTCAAAATAGCACTTGTCCAGGACTTTTATTCCTCCTCTTTGGATGTGAGTCAGCCTAGAGGCAAGGATTTGGTGATTTGAAGGTCCATCTCTTATTCTCTTAACAATAAGTTCAGACCATGTACTATGCCATCTGTGGCACTCCCTAGTGTGGCCCCACCCACTTCTCAGCCTTAACTTTTACTGTTATTCATGAACCTCTGCATTATTCAGACATATCTACCTATACCTTGAATATTTCTACCCTTGCTTTATAGCACTTTGTCGCTGGTTGAAATGACTTCAGATTTTTCTTGGCCTACTTGAATCATGCTTGCTTTCCTAAATTCCATCCTTCTTTTGATTTTCTATAGTTATAATGTCAAGGTCACTTGCTTCTCACGTTTCCTACACTGTCTCGTACTTTTGGTCATTTTTTTCAAATGTACTTTTCCTCTGGCCAACCCAAGTACGGGCTCTTCACAGACAATGGTAACTGTCTTATTTTTTATGGCATTTATCATGATGCCTTTGCTTATCATAAATACACAATGAACAGTTAATGAGTAAGTTATTTTTTGCTACTCTCTGTTTATTGTCTTATTCCCAAGCCTGCCTATATTTAATCTTCATGATAAAGAATTACGGATGCTAATGATGTTTTTAATCAAAGCAAATTCACCTGTAGAAATAATGCAGAAACAAAACATCATTTGGAATAAGGAGCGGCTCCTATCTTCCCCCAGCCCCTGGATGTTCCAACCCAAGCTAGATAGAATGTTAAGTGTATACAAAGTCCCGGTTGTGAACATGACTGTAGAATGGTCTTGTGTTTTTATTTCTCCCCAGGTGTGGTCGCTCACCTGTCTACCACTCCCGTGAAATGGCAGCTCGTGCCTTGGTCCCATTTGTTATGATAGATCATATTCCTAATACCATCCAAACTCTGTTGGCCACACTGCCCAGCTGCACTGACCAGTGTTTCCGGCAAAACCATATTCATGGGACACTTCTCCAGGTAAGTAAAGTTGCTTTGTGTGACTTCTGTCAAACATCATAAGATGAACTTTGGTTTCTCATGTACTGTGAGCTGGTGAAGATTTGATACACAGGCCTTTAACTTTATCAGTAGAACTTTTTTTTTTTTTACTTCTGAAAAATCAGGTATCTCCTAGCTATGCTTTTCTCTCCCAAATACCACTACAGTGTTACATTGTGATTCTCTCAGATTTTTTTTTGGTAATACACCCTGTGTTTTCTACAGTACACTTTCTCCCACTTGGCCTTACCTCTCTGAGCCAGATAAAACGTTGTCTTTTCCATCAAGTATGCCTGCAGAACATTTTGGGCCACTACCTATTCAGAGTGAAACTGAAAGCATTTCTTGAGAGAGGGTAGCCTGAGAGGCGCAGGAAGAGTTACACCCATCAGGGAGAGTCTGCCCTGTGGCACAGCACCTTAGTATGAGGAAGGATTGAACTTTCCTGTTTTCCCTGAGCTACCAAAAAAACTTAGTATTTTGAATAAATGTAAAAGTTTATTGTTTTTAACCTAAGATTTCTTCTAGAAAAAAGTAACATACAAAAAGTAAAGGAGAAAGAGACTTTTTACTGAAACTATCCTATTTTAGCGCTGAGTTGAGGACAGGTAATATTGGTGAGGTCTTCTGTTCACATGGCTGCTATAGTCGCTCACACAGGCATGGGGCTAGGAGTGGAACATAAATGTCAGGTCATGTTCCTGATTTATGAACAGAGTTGAGAGACAGCCTTGAGATCTCAATACATGTTATAAGCCTGAGCTTGACACTGCTGACATGGCAGGCAGTGTGTGGAGTGATTAACAAGATGAAACTCTGGAGCCAGACTGCCTGGGTGTGAATCTCAGATCTACCCGTCATTACTTACACATCTGTGTCTTCATTTTTAAAATGAGGATAATAGTATCATATACCTCATAGGGACTTTGTGAGGACTAAATGAATTAATACATATGACGTGCTTAGAATAGTGCCTGGTGCACCGCAAGATATACAGATAATCATTATTGTTCCTATTACTTTAAATAGACCTATACTATAAAGAAAACTAATTGTTTCGTAATTAATTTCCCCTAGGTAATAAGAATGCAAGATAGAACTTTTTTTTTTTTCTGAGACAGAGTCTGTTGCCCAGGTTGGAGTGCAGTGGTGCAATGTCGGCTCACTGCAAGCTGCGCCTCCTGGGTTCAAGCCATTCTTGTGCCTCAGCCTCCCAAGAAGCTGGGATTACAAGCCTGCCCCCATCCCCCATGCTCGCTATTTTTTGTATATTTAGTAGAGATGGGGTTTTGACATGTTGGCCAGGCTGGTCTCAAACTCCTGACCTCCAGTGATCCACCTACCTCGGCTTCTCAAAGTGCTGGAATTACGGGCGTGAGCCACTGTGCCTGGCCATTCCTTGGTTGTTTTCTATATTTAACAAATATTTACTGAATGTCTACTACATACCACTGTGTCACAGTCCAGCAGCAATAAGTCATTTTTGCCTTGAAGGAGCCAGAAAATAAGCAATCACAATGCAGTGTGCTAAGTGCTGGGTGAACACATAGCAGGACCACCAGACTGGTCTGGAAAATCAGGGAAAGTGTCCCAGAGGAGGCGACATCTAAGTAGAGGCTGAAAGAGGTTAGCCGAGTAAAGGAAAGGAAGGAGTCTCCCATGCAAAGAGAGCAACATACAGGTTCCCAGTGCATGTGACGGCAGCCTGGGTGGGAACTGCTGGTTTGGGTGGGACTGAAGTTCTAGGTTGGCAGTTTTCAACTTAGTCTTGGGACCTGTTTACATTCTTAACAGCTGTTGTGGCTCCTGAAGAGTTTTGTCTATCAATGTTTAATTAGAAAGCAAACTTGAGACAGGCTGGGTGCGGTGGCTAATGCCTGTAATTTCAGCACTTTGGGAGGCTGAGTTGGACAGATGACTTGAAGCCAGGAGTTCAACGCCAGCCTGGCTAACATGGCGAAACCCATCTCCACTAAAAATGCATAAATTAACCGTGTGTGGTGGTGCACACCTGTAGTTCCAGCTATTTGACTTGGAAGGCCGAGGCACGAGAATCACTTGAACCCCAGAAGCAGAGGTTGCAGAGAGCCAGGATCATGCCACTGCACTCCAGCCCAGGCAGCAGAATGAGACTCTGTCTCAAAAAAAAAAAAAAAAAAAAAAAGAAAAGAAACTTGAGAAAACATTAAAACACGAGGACTTACAAGCACATGTTGCATTAGTCAAAAAAATGATGACTTCATCACACACCTTGTGGCCTCTGGTAAACTCCGCTGTACACTTTGAGAGAATGAGAGCAAAAGAGGAAACTATTTTGTTAGCATCACTTGAAAATAATTTGTCTTGTGGACCCCTTGAAAAGATTGCATAGGCCCAGACTGCAGTTTGAGATCATCTAGTCTGTGTTATATACCTTATGGGTCTTAGGTGGTTTCTTTAGTATAAATTCTTGAGCACTCATCTCCCTTGAGTTCTCACTACATCTCTGTGATGAAGAGAGGGGCAGGGGTTATTGTCTAAGTCTTAAAGATGGACCATGGTGGCCCTAAGATTATCATTTGCTCTGTCATGCAATTTACGTCTCTTGATTGTGTCAGACTCTGCTGCTGCTTCAAAAGAGCAGGGCTGGAATGATGAGGCATGTAGAACAGCCTTTTCAAAGCGTGAACCATATCGGAGTTAGAAGGAAGGCCTAGCTTGTCCAGGGGATCAGCCATCAGAGTTTCTTTAGTGAAGATCCACTTGTGGCTGAACTTTGTCCAAGTAGTTTGGTTGAGTTGCTTCTTGGACTCTCTCACAGTTGTGCAAATGAGCCTCCCAGCCTCGTTTCCCATACCCACTACTGGCCCGTCTTTCTGTGCTTCCCCAGTCTGCCCAGCAACAAAACATGGTCGTTTTCTCTGTCTCTGGGCTGCTTTTGATATTCTTAAGTTTACTTTTTCTGCTAGATAAAATGTGAAATCCCGTGGAAAGGTTAAAACCCTATAACTCTGGGGTGTTGTGGCAGTTGCTCTTGTTCCTAAGTGTTGGTGAGATGAAGGGCTTGTTGAATAAAAGCCAGCAAATGTGGCCGTTGGGTATCATACTCATGTTTGTCGGACAGATTCCTGCCTTTATCAAGGTTGGTTTACCCTGTCTGAAAAAAAGAAGTCGAAGAGATGCGGAAAGTCTTTCTGGCATGTTCTTTGGAGTGCTACACCTGTGTTATCCTAGTTCTGTCCATCCTGTGGTTTGTTATGGGGAAAACATAGGGGTTAAGTTGGGGAGGGCTCTTTTTCTCTTTCCTTTCTATAGCTTTTAGATTCCTTCTCCACATAAAGCTACCTTTGAAATCATTAAAAAGCCTGCACCTGGAAAAGAGATGTTAGGGATTGAAAGGAATGATAATCTCCTTTGGACCTTCAGAGCCAGCTAAGTAAATACAAAATTGTTATTTTTTTCAAAAGCAGGAAATCATTTTATAATCAAAAAACAAATTCTTTCACAGAACATTTTCTTGAATTATACATTTTGACTGCTTTGAAAATGTTTACATAAATATATCAAATCTCAGAGTATTTCTATAGTATACCTTGAAAACAAGAAATATGCTGATCTCTGAATTTTCTGGGACTATGGAAGACTCAAATTATACCACATGTGGGATTCGTTTCTTAATCATTTTAAAACCCAGAGGTTCATAATTGCTGTGTTGAAATGGTTGGAAGTAACAGACATTAGAAAAGGTGAGGTTATACAGCAGATTCATGAAAGGCAGGGGTAAATGACATTAACTCTCAATAAAAGCTAGGTAAGAGCCATGGGCAGTACCTCATTTGGTAACATCACTAGCAGGGCTGCTCTGTCTTTTAAGTAGAATTAACCTTCTGTTTTTGTTGCCAAAACTCTTAATGTTGGGGACTTAACATTATTACTTGGTTACTTATCACTCTCAAGAAGTCATATTGGAGTTCAGAAAATTCTCTAATATTGAGGAGAAGTTTGGCCAACAATCATGAGGAAGGGTTTATTCTGATTCTTTGGTACTTAACTCACATTTTGGTGATTCATAAGGAAATGTATACCATATGAAATAACAGTTGAATTTTCAGTTTTTTCATTTCCTGTCTATTTTGTATGTATGGCTTTTGTTGCTGTTGTTGTTGTCATGTACAAATGAAAGGTGATCTATGTTCTTTAATTTAGCATTTTTTTTTTTTTAAGATGGAGTCTCGCTCTATCACCCAGGCTGGAGTACAACGGTGTGATCTTGGCTCACTGCAACCTCCGGTCCCTGGGTTTAAGCAATTCTTCTTCCTCAGCCTCCCAGATAGCTTGGAATACAGGCCCGCCACCACGCCCAACTGATTTTTGTGTTTTTAGTAGAGACAGGGTTCCGCCATGTTGGCTAGGCTGATCTTGAACTCCTGACCTCAAGTTATCCGCCTGCCTCCCAAAGTGCTGGGATTACAGGCATGAGCCACCACGCCTGGGTGAGATAAGGTATTGAACTCTAAAGCCCATGTTCCTCTTTTCTTTAGAATGTGTTGTCTCTGTTTGATGTGAATAACAACTTTTTATGGCTAGGGAAAATGAACCAAGAATGCATCTAAAGATAAACATTATCACTCAGTTGCTCTCCTAAATTTAATTAGGTATGTTATGATACAGTGGAAACAAAGTGAATCCATTAGTGTTATTGAGACAGAAGTCAGTGAAACCCAGGGAAGCTGTGACCCGTAAAAGGTGTATTGTACCCTCCCCTCTCCACTCATCTCTCTGTCATCACTTCTCTTTTGTCTTCCGTTTAATACTACTAAATCTGTATCTGGAAATACAGATCTTCCCTTAGGACCTAGGCTATAGCCAGGTTCACTGTTGCCACACCTTCTGTCATCCTTAAGCATTTGACAAAACCTCTCAAACTTGGGTAACCATAGGAGTTATGGATCCTAGATCTAGGAGCTGATGAGACCATGAGAACATGGTCAAGACTGAAT